CCGACCTCCCTCCCTCTGTCACCCTGGAGGAGCCCGACCGACCAGAGCCCAGAGCGGCCACGGCTGGGGGAGGGGACACCAATTCAAGGTGGACCCCTCACTGGGGTCACCAGCCAGCGAGCGGCAGGCCAGGGCAGCCTCACCGGTCTGAGATGGAGTCAGTGCCCTCGCGGGGAATTGGGCAACCCTTGCACGGATGACTTCTGTCCTTCCCGCTCCTGGAGCCGGGCCCGGCCCCGTGTGTACCCCAAGGTGGCGGCCCTCGATTTCTTCTATTTATAAACAGTGAGAGAGAGGAAGGGAAAGCAGGGCAGGACCGGGGAAGGGGAAGCTGTGGCCGCCAGGATGGCGTCATCTGAGAGTACCAAACTGGGGACGGAGCCTTCTGCCCTTCCTGCCACCGTGAGCGCAATCGACGCCTTTGGGGTCTTCGGGGCCTTTTAATTTTCTGGAGACCCCTCCCCCCCGCTTTAGATGCCAGTACCCTTGGGAAGGGGTCACTCTCCCAGCCTCCACTGGGAGCACCGCTGGGAGGGAGAGGGCGGGGAGGGGAGGAGGGGGGAGGAGGTCACTGGGAGAAGCGTCAGGCTTCGGGGAGGAGCACGTGCCTCTCAAAGCTACCCTTGTCGCGGAGCCAGAAGGACGTGGAGGCCGCGCAGACCCGGGAGACCCGCCGACTGTATACACGCAGCCCTGGGCACCACACGCGTTCTCTCGTTTTATCCCTTCAGCAACGCAAGGGGGTCAACATCACCCCATGTTAGGGGTGCAGAAACAGAGGCTTTGGGAGATTCGATACTAAGTCCGAGAGCAGCCGGCCAGCCGGCGGCAGACAGGAAGCAGTCACGGTTCCATCTGCCTCCGTGTCCTTGGACAATTTTATATGCTGTGGTTTTGTCCTGCTCCCTCGTCTTATAGAAGAGGGGCCCCGAGGGGAAGCGTGTCTCCTAGGAGAACACTCAGTGAGCAAGGTGCAGGCAGATTCAGGGACTCTCCTGAAAGGGTCTCCAGGGTCCCCGGGGCAGAGGCCGCAGCCATGGGGAGGGGCAGAGGCATCTGCAGAAGGACCCAGGGACCCCGACACGGATGGAAACCATCTTCAAGCAATAGAGAAACCCCCTCATTTGCATGGCAGGTCTCTGGGGCCCTGCGGTGCGGTGGGAGGCGGCAAAGCCGCTTGGGCCCCGATCTTGGGGGTTCGTGGGAGCCCCGCGGACTGCAGGGTGCAGCCACATCAGGCCAGGCCGACGCGGCAACGACGTTGGGACCAGGCAACGGAGGCTCGCCTGCCGTCATGGAGAGGAACAGCGTCTGCGTCAGGAAAGACCGACCACATCACAGACGGCGGCCCAGGGGTGACACGTCCCACTCCCTGCCTGCTGCCTGTGATGTCGCTTTAGAAGTGAGCCTGGGGCAGACAGGAAGCCCGGGCTGGTATCCGGTTCTTGGGGCCCGCCTTTGTGCAAAGTGCTAGGGCTCGAAGATGGCAGGATGTGGCCCCTGCCCCCAAGGAACCCTGCGGCTAGTTGCAGAGGACACCCCTTTCCATCCCTCCCGACCCCCCCCCCAACACACTGGCCTGTCGGTGTGGCCCCCTCAATTCACCCGGCTCCCGCCTCCCCACCCTTGGCATCTCCTGCCAGCTACAGCCTCCTCACTCTTGGTCCCCAGGCTTTCCAGATGGACCCCAAATCACCTTCCTGCAGCCAAGTCTGGCCCCGTTGAAAACCACTGGCTCCACGGCCCTCGGGCATGAGCTCATCCCCAGCTTGAGGCCCCGGGCACCGCTGCGCGGCCCCCTGCAGCGTCCGGTTCCCTTGCCCAACCATCCCGACCCCCACGGCAGGGCCAAGTCTCCAGCCTCTTTCAAGGGTCCTCTCCACCACCACTTTAGCAAAACCTCCGAACTCCCAGATGGCGCCAGAGGTCCCTCCTGGGGGCCCCAGTGACAACCTGAGTAGATCTCTACCCTGCCCAGACCTCTTCTTGGTTAATTACCTGTTTCCCAGTATCTCCCCCTCAAAGGCAGGCACCATGCCCCGTCCGCACACTCTGGCTCTGAGCCGGACATCTGGGTTTGAATCCCAGCTCTGCCCTTCCCCAGCCTCAGTTCTGTCATCTATAAAATGGGGACGAATATAGTGCCCACCACATGGAGCCATTATGATTCACTGAGTCAACGCGTGTCAAGTGCCCAGTGCCGTGCCCGGCTGGCAGTAAGAGCTAAGTGTTCCTCGTTGGGTTTTTATTACTTGCTGCTCTATGTCCAGCCCAGGGCACGGCCCACGGTAGGTGCCTCACAGAGGCTGAACTGTTTAACAGATGCAAAAGTTTTCATTTCCAGTTAGTTGAAACGAGGTGGAGTCAGCATGAGAACTGGGCAGGAAATGGCTCGCAAGGAGAGCAGGAGGTGTCTGTCCTTAGCTGGGGTAGACCAAGCAACAGCTTTCAGATAAGAGCCTGTCACAGCCACGGCGACCACCGCCAAAGTACAGAGCTCTGGAGCGCGATGGCCTGCGGTGGGATCTTGGCTCCGCCTCTAGTAAGCTGACAGCCTGAGCACACAGCTCAACCTCCCTGTCTCCACCGCCTCTCCTATCAAAACCGCCCTCCTCCTGGGAAGGAGGGGCTGTGAGAATTGAGGGCTCGGGGAAGGCAGAAGCGCCTCCCTCCCGGGATGTCAGTCCCAGCCCTGGGCTCACTGCACTCTCCCGGCCCGGATGCAAAGTGACAGAGACGCTGTTATCCCCACCTTACCAGTGGGGAAAAGTAAAGCTCAGAGCGGAGTTCAGGGTCTCGAGGCCCTCGGCAGCAGAGCTATGCAGTTCCCCAGAAGTCCTGAGATCTCACCTCACACCTGAGACGAGTGGATCAGCCATGCACTGTCCCATGGCACCCCGGCGGTAGCCCGGGTGACCGAGGCCAGGCTCACCGGTGGCTGCCCACGACAGCTCCAGGAACACGAGGCTGACGCTGGCCACCATCACTTGGCTCAGGCCGGGGCAGGGCTGAAGCCAGAGGGACCTTGTGTTGCAGGATGCGGTACAGAGGGGCAACCCCTCCTCCTCCTCCTGAGAACCTCTGTCCCACACTAGGTCTTAGGTCTAGTCCAAAGGCCTCCTATTCCTCCCTGAAGCCTCCGATCCTTCCTTCCTGTTTGGCTGCTAACTCCCTCAGCCCAGAGCTCCTGCTTAAACTATTGCAACAGTCCCTCCTCATCTGACTTGCCACCAAGGCCAGAGTGATCTTCCTAATTCACTCTCTGCTCTAGTCACTCCCTTGCTCTAAAACTATCAATGGCTTCCCACTGCCTCAACCCCTGATAGGAGGCGAGGGTTGTGCCAAAACCATATCATGGACGCTGGAGTGAAGATGCCTGGCTTTGAATTCAGACACCACCACCTCCCCCACCCCCTTATTAGCTGACAGCATCAGAGTTTGTTTGTTTGTTTGTTTGTTTAATAAATGAGGTTAATAAACCTCAATCTTCTCATCTATAGACCGTATACACTTCATGGGGCTGTTGTAAGGATTAAGTGACGTAAGACATGTAAAGCGTTTGGCACACACTCCAAAAATCACCGCTGTAACCACTTTTAATGCAATCTTTATATTTGTTACTACTTCCTTTAGTTGGCCCCAAACAGCCCATAACCTCTTGTGCTCTCACTGCTCCCAATGAGGCTTTTGCCCCAGCTAGGCTTTTGTCCGCTGCTACACCTGCCTCATGGCTCCCTCCACGCCATTCCCCGTCCTGGACCCACTCATCTCGATCCTGCTCACCCTTGGGGCTCAACTTTTAGACAGATCCCTGTGTGGTCATCGCAAGAGGACAACTTGGAAGAGGCCAGGATGGGGTGGCGGGGAGGGGGCAGAACCAGGAAAATGACAAGGAAAGATGAGGACAGTGACCAAGAGGCGGGCCAGGCAGAGAGTAAAGCCCTCGGGGGCGGGGAGGGGGGGTGGCGATGGCTGGGGAGGACAGGGGGGAATCGCGCCATGCGTGTGGGAGGGCTCAAGGCTGCTGGGAGGACAGGACAGGATGGAGCAGGAGACGGAGGCAGCAGGCAACAGGGAGAAGCCAACCCCGGAGTCTCTAAGAGTGGCAGACAGAAGCCAGGCTGTGGGTCAGCAGGAGGAAGGACAGACGGGGCGCCCAACGTGCTGGTGAGCATCCTGATGACTAAGGTGCCCCTGCCGGGAGGGTCACTGTCAAGACCAGACAGGGGCCTTCCAAGGGCGGGCGGCGTGTGGAGGCAGAACAGCACTCCACCCTCTGCCCAAAGCCACGAACAGCCCCCCACCCCGTGCACCACCTCCCCCAGTCCCTCCCCCAGTCTAACACTCGGGGCCAAAGGACTCCAAGGCAGGGGTGGGCGAGGTCCACGCTGATCCCAACTTCCAGCTGCGGCAGCTGAGGCTCAGAGAGGAGAAGGAAAGTGGCCAGGCCCCCCAGAGCTGGAGACTGAGCCACGCCCAGGCCCCAGACCCCTCAGCTCCCAGCCTCACGCTCTGGTCACTTCTACAGCCCATGGCATCTCTCCTGACAGGCGCTGGAGAAGGCCTCCCACGGACGGCCCACAAGATACCCGTACACAGCCTGCCTGTCCTGTCCCCAAATCCTTCCCCACACTGCTCCCCACCTCGCATCGCAGGCCCACTCAATTCCCTGAACCTGTGGCCACAGCAGCCATGCCCACTCAGGGCCAAGCTCAGATTGAAACAGATGGGTGTGGGCCACCGTCTGGACATCAAAAGAAAACAAACAAAACCCCCTGGGGATTTCTGCCCTGTCGGAGGGGCTGGGTCAACTCAGGGCCCCGGCTCCAAAGTCACGGACAGAGCAGCAGTTTGCTGGCCTCCTGAGGACCCAGAAACAGACCCATCCTGTGGCTCTTGAAGTCATTCCGCATTCCACACTGCCTCTGTGTCCCACAGGTGACACCAGAGACGAAGCCTGTCCCTGCAAAGAAGACGTGGGGGCTCAGAGAGGTAGAACGGTGTGTCAGACAACAAGAGAGCAGGGCAGAGACCAGACCACGGCTCCAGCCTGGGGCCTCCTGGACAGCTGCCCCCGCAACTCAGCTCCCCCAGCGCCGCTCACCTCTGGGGCAGAAGGAAATCTATTTTCCCAAACCCCAGTCGGTAAACAGACACTTCCTCCTACTGGGTGCGCACCCCAAGTGCCCCAAACCACAGTGATGTCACTATTTCCCCGGTGACCTCACAACATGCCACAGTGGAAAATGACCGTGAGCCCCACAGGGGTGGGCCTTGAGCTTCAGAGTCCTAGCCCCACAGTCAGTAGCTCGGCAGAGGGGGGACAAACGCCCAAAGCCCCGGGGCTGTGAAGGACGCCTGCCAGACTCAGCACCAGCGGGGAGGGCTGTGCGCCCATCACAGGTAACAGAGGGCTTCTTCGAGGAGACCGTCACTCCCACCGAGGCTTCCTTGAACTCGTGGGTTCCCAGACAGCAGGCCCTGCAGTGGGTGCCCACGGCATAGACTTACTCACGGTTTGAGGCCCCAGGGAGTCTGGCTTCTGAATTTTACTAAGTGGCAAGGAGGCAGGAAAGCCATGAGTCCTGTTCCGCCTGAGGGTTCTGCATCTTGTTCTGGATGCAAGTTGACAGGCAGCCAGGAATTCTTGGTGCCACTGGGGCCTGAGTCAAGGAATCATTCCAGGCAAAGCCAGCGGGATTGAGGTCAACAGGAAGAGAGGCTGGGAAGCCAAGATATTCGCAGTGGGGAGTGTTGGGCTCTGCTTCCTGGGAAAACTTTTAGACACACACCCCTCCTCGGTCTAGGCCTTTGTTAAACACATGCAAAGTTAGCACCTCCCCAACATTCCAGGAGAGTGTTGGGATCAGTGGTGGGAGGTTTAATAGAGAGGAATGCTTAGCCCCAGAGAAGCTAAGTAACCTGAAGGAGGTCACACAGCAAGCCAGTGGCAGTGCTGGGCTGGGAACCCGGTTCTCCTGACACCTGGGCCAGTGTTCCTTCCTTGGGGCCTTGCCGTCTTGGAGGTCCCTTAGAGGCTGGAGAATGGCCTCAGAGGATCCTCCAAAGGGCTTTCCCTTCTCAGGGTTACAAGTAAACAGAACTTCAGGATCACAGAGATTAGAAACGGAAGAGATTTTAGAGATAGCCTGGAAGAAGGACCATCTTGAAGGCAGGGAAGCTGAGGCCAGACAATCCCTTTCACAGGGAGGTCTTAAGACTCCTCGGAACTGTGCCAAATGTACCCCTCGCTCACTCTCAAATGACATACAGCACCTGTCACTCATGAAAGGAGTGGGGGAGTGATTTCCTGACCCCCTGACCGTGACCACATGCTAGGGTCCGGAGGCCAAGCAGTCGGACAGGTGGTGAGAGAGGCCCAGTGAGGGGGCTTCAGGGGAGGAAGGACAGCCAGGAAAAGGCAGGGCAGAATGAAAGTTGCTCTCAGGGATGTTGGGCATAAGCTCTGGGCAACCAGAGGTCTGCTACCCACACCTTGGGGCCCTTGTGGCTCAGAGACAGAGAATCTGACTCCCCGGTGGTCCCCGCCTCAGCCTGAGCACCATCCTATAATGCAAAGTCAGGTCAGGCCCTGCAAAGCCACCCATGCTCAAATAGCCACCAGTGAACTGCATAGCCTACAAAGCACTTTTAACCCTGACAAGCATCCAATGAGCTGGAGGTCGTTCCCATTTTCCAGCTGGAAACACAGAGGCTCCCCAGAGATAGAAAGACTTGCCAAAAACACACAGCCTGTAAACAGCAGAGGAAGGATTTGAGCTGAGATCTGCCTGATTCTGAGGGCTGGGCCCTTCCCCTAAGTCATCAATACTGCTTTCCCATGACCCAGCAAAGGGCCCGGAACTGGGAGCCACAGCATCCCCACTTTGTTCCCGTTCCCCCGGTGGCACCCCTCTCTCCTCCCTAACCCCCAGCTTCCCTCCCTTCCCGCTTCTGGGCCAGTCACATGCCGATCGGGGCCCTGAGTCATTGCCAGTGGATGGCCCTGTCATGAGCTAGAGAGGGGATGTGAAGGACAGGAGGGAGCACTTTCAGGAGAGCACCCCTAGCCTCCGCAGACCCAATACGGCGTGAAGAGGAACCCAGAGAAATACCCCAAACGGAGGGAGACAGACTGGAACCCAGCCCTGCCACCACTGGCTTCTCAAACCCTTCTGCCTCATCCAAAAAACAGGGCCATGATACAGGTCAAGTGAATATTTTTGCACATTTACTCAATATTTTCTAGCACCTACGACATGCCAGGCACTATTCTAAGCCAGCGGTTCTCAACCAGGGAAATTTCTCCCCCAGGGGACGTTCAACAATATCTGGTAACATTTTAATTGTCACAACTAAAGGGGGGGGGGTTCTACTAGCATCTAGTGGGTAGATGTCAGGGATGCTGCTAAATGTACCAGAACACACAGGACAGCCCCAAAACAATGATGTGGCCCAATGTCAAGGGTGCTGAGAATGAGAACCTCGGTTCTAGGCGGTGAGTCTATAGCGGCGAGCAGGTCCCAGCCCTCACTGTGCTTACAATCCAGTAGGAAGATGCGGTAAAAGTGAAAGAAACAGAACAAAGAAAACAAAGCAGGTCAGGGGAGGGAGAGCACCTGGTGGGGAGCTTTTGTAGGCAGGATGGTCAGAGAAGGGCTCTCTGAGGAGAATTCATTTGAGCAGAAAGAAGTAGTGTGATGAGACTAGGGGAGATCAGCAGGAGGAGCATTCAAGGGAAAGGGAAAGGCAAGTGCAAAGGCCCTGAGGTAGGTGTGTGTGACATGCCTGAGGAACAGAAAAGCAGCCAGCATGGCATAAAACTGAGAGCTGAATGGAACACATACACACACACACACACACACACACACACACACACCATGGTTGACATCAAAACTCCCCCTGCCCACCCCACCCAACATACAACTTTCCTGGCTACTCCTCTAGGAAGCACTGGATGGTCAAGGCCATAAAGTATCTCCCAGCCCTGGAAAGCAATGGTGCTCCAGGATGTCAGTGAGGGTCACTACCTAACACGAAAATGCCTGGAAGGCTCTCAGCCATTATCTGCCGCAATACCTTTCACACCCACTCGGCTCTGTGAGGACAGCAAGGTGGGAAGTACTTTCCAGGCCCACAGTGTCCATGCCACTAACTTGGCCCAGCTCTCAAGGGCGGGTAGGGGCAGAGCCCAGGTCTGTGACCACTGGCAACGTGGCTCCTGGAGAGCTGGAGCCGGGTCATGGTCATCTGAGGTCCCCAGAGCCCAGCACCGGGGTGGGCCTAGAGTAGGTGTCCACGAATGCTGGGGGAATGAATGAACGGCGCCGTACCAGGGTGCCTGGCTGGCTGCCCGCCGCCCTGTGCAGGAGGACCAACCACCAGGCCACATCCCCAGTCAGCACACAAGCTCCCCTCTGGGAGGTCGGGCAGGGGGCATCCCGGGACAGCAGGTACACAGATCACCCATCTCCACATCAAAGGCCATTGTCCCCAGGTCAAACTGGGAGCCCCAATCTGTCCCCTTAACCCCAGCTGGCCCCAGCCCCCCGGGTAATGAGCAGGCAAGTAGTAGGGGCCCCTCAGCCTCCAGACTTCCGGTGAGAGGCAGGCCGACCCCCTTCCCAGCAGACAGCCAGACGGCAGGGGCCCTGCCCATCCCCCTCAGAGGGCACCAAGTGCCCTTACCTATTCCGCCAGCTCTCCTCGCATTTATTTGCCGAATGAATGAATACCAGATGAATGAATGATGCACTCCACACCAGCCAGAAACGGCTTTTAAAGGAGGCAAAAGCCCGGATGGCAAAATGAATCTGCCACACCCTGCAGCCAGTTCAGGTCCCCCGGGGGGGCTCCTTCTGCAACTACGGTGAGTCACAGCCAACAATCCTGAGTGCACACTGTGGGTGAGGCAGCTGGCTGGGGGCAGCGGGGAGATCCTGACACAGGGAGCACAGTGTGGAAGGAGCTGGGGAATCAGGCAGACCTGCATTCAAATCCCCCCAGCCCCTCCCCGCCGCCAGCCCTGTAATCCTGGGAAATGTCACAACCTCTCTGGGCCCCAGCTTCCACGTCTCCAAATGGGAACAGCAGCAACCACCTCCCCCGCCTTTTAGGAGTTGCTGTAAGGAAGCTTTCAGTGAGATTCTGTCCTAAAGGCCTAGCACAGTGCCTGGCACTTAGTTCATAAAAACCAGGGGGAAGAGGACCCCACAGGCCCTGCGGTCAAGGAAATTTCCACCTGTTGAGGTAGATAAGACACCACTAGATTCAAAAGCAGAATAGAGTCTGTTCTTGGGAGAAACAAAGAGCTTTGATCCAATCCAACCGGGAGGGTGAGGAAAGGCTTTTCTGGAAGGGGTGGTTCGTGGGAAAGGCCAGAAGGAGGCGGCAAGGGGTGTGCCGTGAAGAGGGGACAATGCAATGACCAAGTCTCTCTGGATGTGGGGTACGGATGCAGAGAGGTGGCAGAAAGAACCCAGATACTTCACTCACTCCAACCTGAGACACCCGGGGGGATTTTTTCCTCCGCCACTGGGAGTCATTAGCAGGCTTCTCGGGCAGGCGCAGAGGTACCCCAATACGGGGAGCAGTGCCACCAAGGAGGGTCAGTGGGAGAGGCAGCGGGGGCCAGGAGGTCAGCCCCGAGGCTGTGGACATAGTCCGGGGCAAGGGGACCTGAGCAGACACGGGAGCTGGCCCGGAGGTGTGGGAAGTGAGAGACACCAAGGACCCCTCACACTACTCTGGGACTCAGGCGTGGTGTTGCACAGAGAAGCCTTGCACCTGTTCCCCCGATGGGCTCACATGACCCCAGGGTTCACCAGGGCAGGACAACACCCCTCGAGGCCCGAGTCTGTGACTTGACCCTGCGCTCAGGCTTTCAGAGCTGGGATTCTCCTGACCCTCCTCTGTTTTCAAGACAACCTCTGGGGCAGACCCCCCCCTCCCCACCGCCGCCCCAGGGTACATCCTGGCACCCACTGCAGGTGAGTCAACTCCGGTGCGACAGCCTCCATCCTCTGCCCTGGAGAGCTGGACTCTAAAGATGTCTCCAGCCGTGGCCAGTGAGTCACTTCACATTACCGCATGAGCCAGTGCCACCTCCCACCTTCCTCCCCGTGAAGATGTTCACCTGAGTCAGCACATCGCACATTCATCAGGGTAAGGTCATGAGGAGGTTGGAGGGGGGAAATGCCCCCTTTAGAGGAAGAGCACCCCCTATGCCCTTCCACAAAATACAAGTTCTCTGAGCCTCAGTTTGCCTTCTCTGTGAAATGGGGTTACTCTGTCTTACCAGACCACGCAGACAGCCCAAAACAGGCAAAGGATGCGCGATCCCTTTGCAGACTCTACCTTGCTACCGTGGTGGGTGCACGAGGCCTGTTTTCTCCATGTTTCTGCAGTCCCTAAGGGGCCCCGTCTGCCTTGGCTAAACTGCCCAGAAGGCCTCCCGCACCTCCTGTGACCCCCGAGCTCAGATACAGGCCCTCGCGGAGGTCAGCCCAGGGGAACCTGAAGACACGGTCTCCTCCCCAGCACCCAGAGTCCGCAAAGAATAAACAGGCTCTGAAATGGTCGCCGGACACCCCAAGTCGGTCCTGGCGAAGGGGTCTGCGCAAACGCACGGGGACGCAGCCCACGGTCCTACTGTGCCCTTATTAGGCGCTTACTGCACATCTGGCCCTGTTCTTTCAGACGCGCAGTCCCAGCATTTCTAAGAAAGAGGAAAACCATAGCCCAGAGGAGGAGGAAGTCTTCTAAAGAGAGGGCCCGCGTCCGCAGCGAGGACAGCGCCCCGGTACGGGACCCCCTACCCCGCCGCGGGAGGCAGGCCGGGCGCCGCAGTCGCAGGGGTGTCTGAGTCGGGGGCCAGACTCTAACGGGGATCAGCCCGGAGCCGGCCGGCTGGCCCCAAACGCCCGGGTCGGCGCGGCCGGAGGGGACGGGCTGCGCCCCGGGGCGGCGGGGGCGGAGTTCGCGGCCGGAGCGCACGTGTGCCACACAGGCCTTGGGAGGGTCCCGGCGGGTCTCCGGGCGCGCGCGGCGACCGTCTCACCCTCAGGGGGCGGCGCCTCGGTCTCCCCGAGCCCCGACACCGCGCTCCGGGATGGGGGGGGGTGGGGTGCGCGCCAACCGGTGGGCGTGGAGCCGCGCGGGTCACCCACCTGGGCGGGCACGGCGCGCCCCGCGGCCCAGAGCTGCAGTCCGACGGCCAGCGTGGCCCAGAGGACGGCGGGCGCCATGCGTGCGGCGGCGGGAGCGCGGGCGGGTCCGGCCGTCCCTGGCTGTCGCGCCCTTGGGCCCTCGCGCCTCCTCTCCGCGCCCAGCTGCCTCCGGCGCCTCCGACGGAAAGCGAAAGCCTGGGTTCTGGCGGCCGGAGGGAGGCAGGTGGAGGGGGCGGGGCGGGGCCTCTCGACCACGCCTCCTCCCCGCCCCCGCCCCCGCCCCCGCCCCCCTCGCGCCTGGCCCCGCGTCCCCGCTCCGGCTCTTACCCCCTCAACTCGCCCCGGGCTCCCGCTCTCGGGGACCCCTCCGCCTCCACCTCCTTCTCGTGCCCCTTCCCCTTGAAGTCACCCTCCCACCAGGTTTGTTGCTGCCCCCAGGCTGTGCCTCTCAACCTGCCCTGCATCCACCTACCCCTCCCACCCACTCCCTTCCCCCGCTGGCTCCCCATTGCTGTGGGGATGGGACACTAATTTGGAAAAACATCTCCCAAAGGTGACACTAGCTCTGGCGGACCACCAGTGTTCTATATAATTCACTCATTTGGACTCGAGCCAGACCGTCTGAGGGTGTCTCTGCGTTACCCTCACAGAGTTACATTTTCTGAAGATTAAAAGCTATATAATATATATGTTATGTATGTACGCTCACGAAATGTATATGTAACTTAATAAGCTGTGTATACTGAGTTGGCTGTTATTACTATTATCCATTTGTTAATTTATCCTCAAACTTTTTTTTTTTTTTTTAGTAGGCTCCATGCCCAGTGTGGGGCTTGAACTCACCACCCTGAGATCGAGCCAGGTGCCCCTGTCCTTAAATGTTCTTCAAGCCCTTCTCAGAGCGAGCCAGACCCTGCCCTGCCTTCCTTCTTAAGTCTTCCGTCCAGGTGACGAACAAGTAAACAAGGCTAGGACAGAAAGCCATCTGGGAAATTGAGGGCGTCCAGAGAGAGCCCAGGCCAAGGGCCGCGAGGGCTGGCAGGCTCCCCTGGGGCTCGCATCACGACCGAGCACCCACGCTCCCTGCTATCTTCGCCATCTTCCATCTTCCTTCTCGTTGAGCCACAACTCTAATTTTTTTTTTTTTAACGTTTATTTATTTTTGAGACAGAGAGAGAGCATGAACAGGGGAGGGTCAGAGAGAGGGAGACACAGAATCCGAAACAGGCTCCAGGCTCCGAGCTGTCAGCACAGAGCCCGATGCGGGGCTCGAACTCACGGACCGCAAGATCATGACCTGAGCCGAAGTCGGCCACTTAACCGATTGAGCCACCCAGGCGCCCTGAGCCACAACTCTAAAGCAAGGGCCAGCCCCGTGTGGCCAGAACTCACTCCCCCAGGCCTGGGAGTCCTTGCCCCCAGCACACAGGGCATTTCGGAGGAGTGGGGTGGGCAGGGCCGCAGGAGACAATTCTGTTCTCCCATTCCCTCACTGCAGGCTGCCAAGAGGTTCAGGGACCTCTGCTCTGGGCCACCAACCCCCATGATGGAGATAGCAAGGTTGGTGCATCTAGGCACTGAATGAAACTGGGAAGTGACTCTTGTGAGGTGGAAAATCCCATCTCCTGACCAGGAGTCTGGGAAATTACCTGGTTCCCAAACATTTCTAAGAGATAGGCCACGCTGAGGGTGCGGTAGCACAACCCACAAACTTGACTCTGTATAGAGAGTCAGCCTCTAAAACTAGCACAAAGGTTTCTTCTGGCCCTTACTAGTCTCGCCTGGCAGTTTTGAGGACTCCCCGATCTGGAAGAGAGAGCCAAAGACCAGGAGTGGGGGGGGGGGGGAGTCACCTGGTGGATGCAGGGACAAGTGGTTCTCCATGGATGACCCACGTACCTCTCAAACCCAATGGGTCCCACTGGCTCCTCCGATGGCTCCCCATCCCAGTGAATGGCTTCTTCACCACCCAAATGTGGGGATCCTCCTGGGACCCCACTTCCCATCCCAACTCCATCAGTGGACCCAAAGGGTAGGTGGCAGCCAAGTCGAGAGAAAAGCAAACCTCTGCCTAGTGATTCTATCAAGGGTATTTATTTTTTTAAGTTCATTTATTTATTTTGAGAGAGAGAGAGAGAGAGAGAGAGAGTCCCAAGCAGGCTCTGTGCTGTCAGTGCACAGCCCAACATAGGGCTCAATCTCACGAACCATGAGATCATGACCAGAGCCGAAGTCGAGAGTCGGATGCTTAACCAACTGAGCCACCCAGGCGCCCTTCTATATAGTGGATTTAATACAGAGGAATTAGTTACAAAGGTGTTAAAGGAATTAAAAGGACAATTAGAAGAAGGGGAGATAACCCTAAGATTAACAACCACAAGATGCTGCCACCACCCCTGTGGCTGAAGATGGCACCACCAGAGCCAGGAGCCAGGGCGTCTGGGGGAATCTGGAACCACGGAGGAGACAGAGCCACTGCAGGAGACACTATGTGAAGCACAATGAAGGGAAATATCCCGGCTTCTCCCTTCCTTTCGGGCCCTCGTCTCCCACCAGTGCCTCCCACTGGCCGAACCTAAGATGGAAAACGTTTGACAAGGGAACCTGGGAAATTTAGTTTGTGGGGTCAGCCCACTGCCATAGAGAGCCGCGCAGGGGCCTGGTGGGGCCTGTGGCTGAACACAGGCCACCAGCTGGCACCGGTCCAAGGGAAAAGGCGCAGTCACCTCAGGCCCATCTAGCCTCAGGCTCTAACTCAGGTCACACACTTTTATCGAGCATCTGTGGGGCCAACCCTGGGGTGCTGGGCACTCAGGAGGGCACAAAGCAGGCGAGAATCTCCTGTCAGTCTTGTGGGCCCTAAACTCCTTGGATATCCAGCTGTCAGAGTGGTCCTTTGTAGCCCTTCCTGCTTTGCCCGCGATCAAGGGAAGCACCCCCTCCCCCAAGAAGCAGCAGGGGGCGCTCAGTACAACGGCGACACCCTTCCCCAAATCTCTTTTGGCATCTCCAGACCCAACGCCTTCTTTAGGCTAGGGATGGGCGACGGCAGATTCTGGGTGAGCCATTCGTCATTCAGCGTCAGCACACCTGCACGGGTGGCCCCGGACTCTCTCTCTCTCCAAGATGGGATTTGGTCTTGGCACCCACCATTGTGTACCTGCCGCTGGGAAATCTGCTAAAACTCAGCAAGTGCACAGAGTCCCCTTAGCACCCTGCCTTGGTCTGGATCCCTGGCTCCTTTCCTCCTGCCCCACAGCCCAGCCGTGTCTTTGGCCATGGCCGTTTCTCACTCATGATGCTCTAGTGATCTCCCAGCTGGTCCTCTGGCCTCCAGGTTCTGTCTCTCTAATCTGTGCTCCGTGCTGTGGTCAGGGCCAGCTCCCAAAAGCATAAGGCAGTCATGCCATTTCCCCCTGGTCCGGTGGTTTGAAAATCAAGGGGCAATTTTGCCCCCTGCCCTACAAGGGACATCTATCCATGTCTGGAGACATTTGGGATTGTCACAATTCAGGGGGCAGAGTGGCGGTACGGGCCTCTCGTGGGGTAGAGGCCGGGATGCTGCTAAATATCCCATGATACACAGGACAGCCTCCACAGCAGAGAATTATCCAGCCCAAAATGTGGGTAGTGCCAACACGGAGAACCCCTAGGGCCCTCCATGCCCTCGCCCGTGGCTCCCCGCAGCCTTCTGAATCGAGCTCAGCCTCCTCGGTGAGATGCTGGAGGCCTTCACGTCCTGGCCCACACTGCCTGCCAGGCAGATCCCCCCCCCAGCCCCATACGTTAACCACCCTGGACTCCCTGAATAACCTTGGGTCCCCACCTCCGTGCCTTTGCCCCTGGGTTCCTCTGCCCGGGACAGCTTCCCCTTCCATCTGCTTGGTGATCACCGACTCCCTCTCCTTTGTGAAACTTGCCCTTAACCACACTCCACCAGCCAAGGCAGGGGTTGGTACTTTTGCAGACCTTTAGCAGAACCCTCACCTCCGTATGGTTAGCTGCTCACATCCCCCTCTCCTCTGTTAGTAATTGCGAGACTAGCGGTTATTGGAAGTCTGCTCGGGGCCAGACGACTTACAGACATGGTCTTGCAGCGGAGGGGCCAAGCCTCGTAGGAAGCTTGTACAGCTAGTGAAGGCAACATTGGGCTCCCACTGAGTTAGTTTGCCAAGCAAGTGCTCAGCCGGCTGCTTCTCACGCCGCTGGACTGTGTGGTCTTTGAGGGCAGAGGCACTTGGTCATGGTCCCTGCTATTTCCCCAGAGGGAGGGGCTCAGTAAAGCTGGACAGCACAGGGGCGAAGACGTGAGTGAGTGAGCGGATGTCAGGGTCAAGACCCAGGAATCTAGTCCATCCTACTCCCTCTGAGGCCCTACCCACTCAACGTGGTCTCCCAGGCCATGCATGTCTCAGACCCCGAAGTCCCACAGCCCATTGTTTTTGCTGCTCGGTCATGGGGAATCAGCAGGTTCCAGCAGGTAGGACTGTGGCCCTCTGGTCCCCAACCCAGGGGCTGCATGCACAGTATATACCCTTGGCCTGGGCCTCCCTGGAGCCTTTCCTCCCTTCCCAGTGCAGCCCATAGCTCTCAGAGGGCCCTCCACCATCTCACCCCAATGAGCTGATGGTTGTGCTTTGCAAGCAGGTGTGGTGGAAGGCATCGGACCCAAGAACAGCCAGTCTGTCCGCCGGTATTTCCTGAACACCTGCTACGTGCCAGGCGTTTGGAGGAATATGGCTCTCCAGCTTTAGCCAGCATCAGAGTCATCTGGAAGGCTTGTTAAATGTGCAGATTCCTGGGCCCCACTCCCGTGTCTGTTGAGGGCCTGATGATCTGGCTTTTTAACGTGCCCTCAGGTGACTAATGGATATCTTTTGGGGAACCCTGTGCAGAGAGGGTTTAGCTGCAGCAGGTGCTGTGGCTAAGGGCGGTCTGGAAGGCATAGCTGTGGTTGGGTTGGCAACGGCAGTTCACGCTGTGGGGAGGTCTCAGAACCAGCCACAAAGCCAGTACCTTCTCACCTGGTCTGGGCGTCCAGTGGGATCCTGTCTCAAAGGAGCTGCTCGGGCAGCCTGACCCTCCCCCCCCCCACCCCACCCTGCCCGCCTCCCCATCCCCACCCAGCTTGGCCCACAGCCAGAGCAGGCAACCTTCTCTCGTTCCACTGTCCTGCTTATCTCAGCACCCTAAATGCCCTGGGCCAGCCCCTGGATGACTCACGTCCTAAATCACGAACAGGAAGTAACACAGTGTTAGCCACAGCCCTGAAACTGTTTTCTTCATCTGTGCCTCCCCTGGCCCTCCCGCCATCCCAGGGCCACACCTCAGGCTAACCTGGTCGTGCCAAGCAGCCAGCCCCTGTCCCCGTTTCCTTCCAAAGAAGAGGAGGGCGGAGGAGTGCAGAGCTCCCTTCCCCCGACCCTCAGAGAGGACCCCAGGCAATTGGGGAAATGGAGTCAAGAGGGCCTCCAGTCCTCCTCCCGCACCCCCCCAATCATTCTGCCCCAACCTCCCTGTTCTAGGTTGCCTCTTCTCAAGAACCAGCCCCCAACCACCCGAAGACCCTCAGTTTCTCAGCCGAGTCAAGTGGGGCCAGCTGAGAGTCAGGGGAGAGAGGCTGATCTCACCCTCACCGCCAGCTCTGCATGATGGTGGCCGCCCGGGGCCC